ACCGCAATGGTAAAGGGGTCCTGCCGCGTCAGCCCCCCAGAGGATGATAAGGACGGAGGACAAGAAAGAAAGCAAGAGGGAGGGAGGGAGGGAAGAGGAGGAAGGAGGAGGACGATGAGGAGGAAGGAGTGGAGTCGCTGGAATTGGCTGCTGACCACACTGTGGTGAGGAGGGAGGAAGTAGTTGGAAGGGAGGGAGGGAGGGAGCGAGGGAAGGGAGGATGAGGAGGAGGGGGAGCAAGAGGAGAAGGGGGAGGAGGAGGAAAAGGATGCGGAGGAGGAGGAAATAGGGGGGGAAAGGGAGGAGAAAGTTGTAGGGAGGCGGGAGGCGGGAGGCGGCACGGACTCCGCGTCTTCGATGGGTGCCGAGGATGCTCAACTCCGCGCCCGCCCTCGCGATGCTGAGCCGCGAGAGCAGCACTGGAACAGACGGGGGGCGCCGCCCGACAGAGAGGACGGGGTGGTACCCACGTCACAGCGGGCTGCCAGAGGTGCCCGAAGGCCGCGGCTGACTCTGACCCGTCCGCGCGGAGTGCGCCGTAACGCCCCAGTGGACAGGCACGAAAAGAAGAAGCAGCTCGGGTACGGAAGGGGCGCGCTGTTCCTTGAGCCCTTCCATGGTTGCTCCTCTAGCGCCCCTCGCGCATCCAGGCGCTCGAAGAGCCCCAAACTGGCGGAGCTATCGCTCACTACGTAGCTTCCTTCTGATACTGGCTTGACTCTACCCTTCAGCGCGCGGCCCTGAGCCTGAGTCCTCAGTTCTGAGGAAACCGGGGCACGGGCCCAGATTTCCAAAATCTCTTGGGGCTTGTCGCGTGCCACTTGGGCTTTGCCAAGTGGTGGCGCGCGAATGTTTCGGGCCCCCCCAAAAGAGGCCCCAAGACGGGCCAAGAGGGCTCCAAGAGGCCCCGAAGACGGCCCAAGAGGGCCACGAGTCGCCGAAAGGTCGGCCCAAGGCACCCAAGGACGGCCCAAGAGGCCTCCAAGACAAGACACCCCAAGAGGCCTCCAAGAGGCCTCCCAAGAAGGCCCTGAGAGGCTGACATCCTTGAAATTATTTTGGCTTTTCATGGCTTTTGGCCACTGTTCTTTTCGGCTTACCGACGCTCCAAGACGGCCCAAGAGGCCTCCAAGACCGCCCTAAGACAGACCAAGACGCCCCCAAGACGACCCCAAGACGGCCCAAGAAAGCCCCAAGACGCCCTGAAGGCGCCCAAGACGGCCCAAGAGGGCCCCAAGACGGCCCCAAAAGGGGCTCAAATGAGGGAACACGAACCGAAAATCTGCCCTAAGAGGCCCCCAGGAGGCCCCAACAGGCGCCCAGGAGGCCACAAGAGGCCCCCAAGAGGACCCAAGAAGCCCCTCAAGAGGCCCAAGAAAGGACCCACCCCAAAACGGTTCTCAAGAGGCCTCCAAACAAACTGCCTCCAAGAGGCCCCCGAGAGGCCTCCCACGAGATTCCAACGAACATCCTTGAGGCTTCAGACCCACGACCCAGGCACGGTGGCGGGATGGGCCCAAGGCCATTCGACATTGATGTTACACATGGGGTTCGAAGTATATGTGTCTTGCGTGTGTTTGCTCCCTATCCGATAGTGTTCGGTGTTGTCGCCCCCCTGTTCCCTCGTCCTCCTTCCTCCAGCTCCTCCCGCTCCTACTACCCATGCTCCTGCTGTTGCGGCTGTTCTTCCTGCTCATACCTCCTCGTTCATTGGCCACCATCATGTTTATCCTCCTGCTCATCCTCCTGCTGCTCCTCCTCCTCTTCCTCCTCCTCCTCCGCCGCCTACTCCGAAGTGCACAGCTCTCCCTGCTGCGTGCGCACAACGCGATGAGGTCACCGGAGGATCCCAAATCTGCTACGACACCCGTCGGCGAACAAAGCACACACCAGCGCAGTGGGAAGGAGCGGGTGGGAGGGGTATGATGTCCGATGTGGCGCGAGCGCGCCTGGCTTGTCCTCGCCCCTCTCTTCCGCCTCCGCTCCTCTATCCTCCTGCGCTCCTCTCGTCCGCCTCCGCCCTCTCTGTCCCGTCCCTACCCCTCTCTGCCCCCCCCTCGTCCCTCCCTCTCGCCCCTCCCTCTCGGGCCCGTCGCCGTCACCGTCTGCCACCCCATCTCCTCCGCCTCCTCTCACCTTCTCCCTCCTCACCCTCCACGAAGTGCCGAGGGCTCTGAGGGGGTCCTGGTGCATGCACGTGCTGCTGCGGCGGATGCGCGACTTGAGCGGCACGATCTTCCCAGCCCTACAGGGCAGGGAGGGGAGGCAGGGGGAGGAGGACAAAGAGGAGAAGGAGGAGGAGGAGGAGGAGGAGGAGAAGTAGGAGGAGGAGGGACGGAGGGAGGAAGAGAGAGAGGGAGGGAGGGAGGGAGGGAGGGAGGGAGGGAAGGGGAGGAGGAGAAGGGGAGGAGGAGGAGGAGGAGCAGGAGGAGGAGGAGGGGAGAGGACAAAGGATGAACGAGGGACGAGGGGCGAGCAACGAGAGACGAAGAGGAGGAGG